GGTCTGTTCATTCCCCTACAGTTTTCACCACTTGTTTTTAAAAAAAGGGAACAGAAGTATTGGGATTACAGAAATATTTTGTAAGACCTGCCTCTGGGATGATGTACAGCTCCAGAGCTAAAATCTAATCAATGGACACATTTAAAGAAAAATCTGTTCACAAGAAGTTGCTGGAGCCATTGCAATCTCAAAAAACACTCTGCCTATCTTTGGTATGGGAACTTCACGCAGTATCTTGGGATTCTCCAAAAGATACCAAGTGCCCTTCCACAGGGTGCAGGATTCTCACCTTCTCTGAAGCATCTTGCTTGCGAGTGGAGTCTCGCCCACGCAGGCTCTTTGCACTGATCCCCGACTCCGATGTTTGCATGATCAGTTGTGTGGCCAGAAATTGCTGCAAGAAAACCACACTGTTAAGATTCACAGGCAAAACAAGCTCAGTTAGTGCACGTCAGTTAACTATCACAAACCACAGGCTGGGAATGATTGGGTCAGAGGTAGTTTCAGTTCCTTGTTTGCTGCTCAGAATAAGTTCCCCCATCTACCTCAGAAGCCACAAGTCCTGAGGAACTATAAAACCCCAGTTCAAACTCCGTTAGCCCTGCCAGTTGGGACATTCTACTTCACAAGAAATTTTAAATGGCATATATTCACAGGACACAGCTTCATGTACACTTCAAACCAGCATAAACCAGTACAGCCACCAAAAGAAGCAATCGCGTCCCCTGTCATTCACCATTCTTGTTGCTTGTTTCTGTTCCTGAACCACACCCTGGTTCTTGCTGGCCTAAGCATTTCCCTGAAGGAAATTAGATTTGAAATTGGTCTGGGCTGAACCTAAAAAAACATTTTGCTGTGTTAGTTTTAAATTATCCACAATCTAGTTCACCACAAACACCTGAGCTACAACAAGAGAGATACAGGGAAAGATGAGACTACTTCATTCAAAGACACTGTGAGTGAAACTGTGATCTTACATCCAGAAGTCCTTCCCATACCTATGGACCAAGGCAGATGCTCTGTCCTGCACTGGCCCCAGCTCAGTACTTTACCTGGATCTGCTCCAGGACATCTCGCTGCATCTCCACAGCCATGTGGTACACATCATGGTCAGAGCTGTTGTACATAACTGCATTTTGAAACATCAGCATAATATCACGCTGGAACTCAGCTGTGGTTCGTATCAGCCCATTCTCAATGTTCTTTTTGATGGTAGATAAATCCATTGGTCTATGAAGGAAATGCAGTCAAAATAGCAACAGAAATATTTAACTCTTTTCCCTTCTCTTTTGCAAACAGCCCCAGGTCTGCAACATGCCTAGTTAGACCATCTACTTAATTTAGCCAAATAGGTTCTCCAGCACACAGGCTGTGTTCCTGAGTACCAATGCCTTGGGGTCGGAAGACAGAAGCTGTCCACCAGTTACCATGAATGGTAACAATGGTGTGACAGATGCCTCAGGAGAGGCATTTGCCTTCTGCAGGCATCACTGGAGGAGACACTAAGGAGCTAGAGCTGCAGCCACTGAACTGTTTAGGAGATTTTGGGGGCTAGCAGGGGATTCTGGTAATTTTTCCAGAGGAGTCCACTATTTGGGACAGTAAAAAAATGCTGATTAAAGAACATAGGTCTTTGGAATTTCAAAGATTAAATCCCACCCTTGGATAGAAATCGGGAGAAGCAGATCAGTCACATACCACCTTACTGATTAAAAGTGTTCTGTGTAAGTCAGTGTACTTCATTCAAAGACAGGGCTGCATAAACACATGTATCTGTTACTGAAGATGACCCTTTTCCTGGGGACACCTGTTTCTGACTGAATCATGCCAGAAAAAAAGAATTTTCAAAGTCTTGAGTCTGCATGGCAGCCAAAAACTACATTGCTCCTGCCAGAAATCCCTACACAAATATGCAAATATACCGAGTTCTAATGACAGAAGACTGCTGAGACTCACCTCTGCACAATACTGTGGTAGCCTGGTGCTATATCGTCAGTTACAGGCTGTAGGAAGACATTGGCGTACCTGCAGAGAGAAGGAGTCCACTTACTGCCCTGTCCTTGCTGGTAAATATTTGTTTCATGTCTCATGTTTATTTGTCTGCTACCAGTAACAATATGATTCATCATCTCCCGGTACCAAGGCAGATGAGCCTCCGAGATGGGAGAGCAGAGACTTGTCTAGGATTAGTCACTTCTTTCTGCCAGTTCTCAAGACATTAAACTCACCTGTGATTAGCTGCTGCTCTCCAAACTAACATGATGGCTTTCTTCCAGATCTTCTGGGCCTGTATTGCTTCCTGGTCCTCACTGCACACTGAGCTGGGAAGAAAAGAATAGGACTTTCTTCAGGAGTCTGCATACTGCCTCGCAGCAGAAACCTTATAGTTTATTTTGCCTTTGACATGCCTACACTAATCCATACCACAGACAGAAAGAAAACAATGGGACCTGGTACTATGGTGCTGTCTGCACACTTGCACTGGTAAGCAAGGAGAACCAGACAAATCATCAACAAATTTCCCCTTTGGACCCACTCAGCAAAACAGAAATGAGAATCCTACACTCCCTCCACAAAATAGCCTGGCATTTACACCTGCGTGCCCGAGAGCTTCACTGATACTCACAACTGTGAGGAGGCTGGGCTGCTGGGGATGGAGTCGGCTAGCGTGTGAGACTGTAAAGGTGCATTATGGACACTGAAGCCATCATCGCTCTCACTCACAGGGGGTTCGTTATCCATCTCTGATAGATATCCCTCACCCTGATCTTCTTCTTTGGGTTCCTCCAAACTGGCAGCCTCACTGGCACCATCCTCATCATCCTCTTCACCCTGCCCATCCTGAAACACAGAGAATTCATGAGTCTGCACAGCTAGCTACAGCAACAACTGACAGCCTCCAAAGCAACTACGGTTCAGACAGA